CCCCAAAACCCCAAAACCCCAAAACCCCGTTGTAGATGAGCATGATTGAATTTATTCCTTACTTCTCTCTATCAAAGCTTCATATGTCAGTGAACGCATATTGTGCACGTTCATTGTTAACGCATCACTTCTGACCGGTTTTGCTTGGTATGTGGCTGGTTCTTTCTCCCTCTCTTGTCTTAGTTTGACCATATCTTCTTTGTTGCTTTGTTCATGCACTTCATTGTACATTTGCCTCATGCTCCCTTTAAAGGCCTTGTACATAGCTGTATCCTCTTCAGTCTTGGCAATTTTCTTGATGAACTTCTTATTGTTGTATGAGAGTGCTTGAGCTTCTCTAAAGCGTCCTTCTCTAGCAAGGTTTGATGCTTGCTGAGCTGCGTTCACAGCCACGATGCCTATGTTCAAGTCTTGCTTAACTTCTTCAGCATCTGACGAAGTCTCAAGCACTCTTGAAATCACTCTGAGATACTTGGTTCCATCAAGTCTGCAATACTCGATCTGGGTCTGGAATGGAATCTTGCTGAATTCTTCAATGTTGAAGCCTTCGATGAGAGCAAGTTGATCAGGATCTTTGAGCCTGTAACTGAAGGTCACTTCAGTATTAGCATTGACATTTCCTAGTTTCTTGGTCATTAGGGTTCTGTCAGCACTCAAATTCTTGCTGAGCTCATTCTTGAACTCTAGTGCTTGATGTAGTCTCACCTTTACAGTGACGTTGGTGGCTATAGGCTTGACCTGTAGCATTGTCTCAAACTCATTGCTTGCATCTTGAGGATCGATGATGTTGACTTGGCCTCCAGTTTCTTCGCTGAGAACAATCAAGTTGTCAAGGTTACAATAACATCCTTTGAGACTCATGAGGTTGACTGTGACTCCATGCTCATTTGCGTTTGCAGCAAGGTCTTCATAGAACTTATCGACTCTTTCTTTCCAGTCAGAAGTTTCTTTGTATGCCGTTTGAGAACCTACTCCTAGGTTGGTCTCACCGTCTGTGCAAATTACTACAGTAGCTCCTTTGCCTACAGCACCAGCCATGGTGATAGCTGTGAGAGCGCCAGGGCCGAGAGCAGTCATTCCTCTTGGTTTCTTCTTCTTAACCATGGCTATAAGGTTCTCATGAGTAAGGCTGACTGGTTGGGACATATGAGTCATGGCTAGATTCTCTGCATTGGCATATAAGTACTCTTCATTGTTCAGAGCTTCACCTGGTCCTAAAAATTAACCTTCATTAAATATCTTACTTATCTCTTTTAGCTCGGCAGTTCCATCTCCTCAGACTGCTAAATAGCTACAGAAGTAGACGATTCCAACTTTATTTATTTGCTTCTTTGAATGCTTCGATCTGGTCGCAGATGCCTTTAGCAAGACACTGGTATCTTGTTAAAGAACGATCTCCTTTGTCGAGAGGCATTACTGAATTGTTCATTGAACTGCTCATATCGATGCAGAATATCAGAGGAGTTTCTGAGGAGTCTCTGGTAACATCTGGAGCATAACCTTTGATTTCTTCATCTTGTTTGTGTTCATCTGCTTCGTCTTCAGGCTTCTCAAGTATGTAGTTGAGGTTGCTCTCACCACTCTCTTTGTCAGGCACTTCATGTTCATCCAAATTTATTTCGTTTTTATTGTTGCAGAACTCACAGATCCAGACTCTAGATTCGTTGTCGTCACCTTCAGCTTCATGTTGCTCAAGATGGCTGTGGACATTCAGAACTGCACTGCAGTTGGTACAGAATACAGGGTCTCCAGTGGTGAAGTCTTCAGGCTCGAGAGCACTCATGTTGACTTTCATGACATTGGTGTCAACATCATTCTTGAACTTGCGACCTTGTTTCTTGACTCTTTTCTTAACTTTCTTTGGAACTGAAATGTCTATAATATAAGTTAGCCTTATGGAAGCAAAATGGGTGAGTACCTTCATCATCAGAGTCGAAAGGGCGATTGAGCTCATCAGAGTTGACTTCCCAATCATCAGAGTTAATCTCTTTCTCTTCTTCAACCATTAATCTATGGTTAGACTTGATATAGACTTTATGTGAACAAGGTTCCATTTATAAATTTTAATTATAATTAATCTTCTTGTTTCTCTTTTATATACAAGTAAAGTAATTTAAATGAACATTCTTCAATATATCATGAGAATTCCGGGGTTTTGGGGTTTTGGGGTTTTGGGG